TTTCTTTCTTTCTTTCTTTCTTTCTTTCTTTCTTTCTTTCTTTCTTTCTTTCTTTCATATTAGCCCTTATTATTCTTTTGCTACTATGATTGTGTGTCTGTGCCTTCAAGTCAGTGTTGACTCCTGGCAACTGCCTAGACAAGTCCCTGCAGGTTTCTTGGCAAGATTTCAGGATCTTTGCCCTTGCCTGCTTCCTAGGGCTGAGAGAGAGTCACCGGCCCAAGGTCACCCAGCTGGCTTTGTACCTAAGGTGGAACTAGAACTCACCATCTCCCAGTTTCTAGCTTGATGCCTTAACCACTACACCAAACTGGCTCTTGCTACTATGAGTGAAGTATTGTTATGACTCCTGACTCACCCTGACTCACCTTCAACGGCAAAACTGGCCCTCTGATCTTATGCAACACTTACATTTGCTACAGGTTACAATCTATGGGCTGAAAGTAAGGGGGCATGATGGAGAGTTATCCTACTCAATCTTAAAACAAAGATGGGAGGAAAACAAGCCTATGAGTGCCTTCTTCCTGAAGCAAGGAAAACAAAACACCATTCAGTTGCAAAGGGCATCAAGGAATTGTACATTCAGCCATTTTTTGAACATCATTAATGCTGTTTCCTTATGGGCTCTTCTGCATGGTCATGTTACAGTGCATTTCACCTGTCCTAGACTTTGCAGAAACATTTGCTGGCATAATTTGCATTGTCCTAGGAGATAAACCAAGCTCTCATTTGTCTCAGCAACAAGTTTCCTGAGTGGTCCAGTCCTTACAGCTTTACTGCAGGACAATTTAATGGCAGACATTTCCCCAGGGTTTGTTTTCACTCCCATCCAACATCATCATCACACTCCTGAAAGTGTTGCAGGGCTGGCTTGGAGGACTGTGGTTGGTGCCTGGAAGACAGGCTTTAACCATCTGCCCAGCTGGTTACATGAGTGACAGGTCTCCAGTACAGAGAGACTCAGACTAGTTCTGAGTATGGGTCAACTGGTCTTCTGGAGAGTCTAAGGGCAAAGGGGAAAAAAAGTTCACTCAAATGCAGGGGGATCCATAGCCATTCTTCTAAGGTACAGCAGAAAGGGTGGGGTTTGTTCTTCCATGAAAAATCATCACCACTACCATTTGCAGATCAGAAGGTCTAGAATTTTTTTTAACTAGGAGGCTCTGTGTCCTGAAATAGTTTAAAAAATTGATTTAGAGGAAAAGAAAAGCTAACTTGAAGGGAAAATTAAAGCAAGCTATCACTAATTGTATTAATGATTTTATTTTTAGGTTAAAAAAATTCTATAACACCTATGTATCCACAGATGTATACATCGATGTCCATTCCTAATCATGATGATATCAGAATGATGAAATGGGCATTGTGACATCACATTCAAGTTCATAAGGGACAAAATTTGCATCACGATACGTTTCATCACTTGCCTCCCCTTCCTCCCCACCCCCTTCGGGACCCCTACCTATGCATCTTCACAAAGCATATTGTTTTAGAATTAAAATACAGCCTAGATTTTTAAAAAGTAAACCAAAAGAAACTTACGGATTGCATTTCTTCTTTTCCTCCTCTCCATAAGCCAAATTCCTGCAGGCACTGATGCATACTTCCAAAATGCCAAATTTGAAAATGTATCTAATGGCAAATTCTATTTCACCACGGACATCGGCTTTTGCAAAGTCACCAGTCTCACTGCAAGAGCTGGTAATGCTGTATAAACTGCCCTGTATAAGACAATGAATTAATCCAATAGGGTCTAAAAGACAGAACAATCTGTCTGCTTTTTACCTCTAATTGAGCCTAAAACCTAGACAGTGACTAGATGGCATGAAGGGCTAGAACCAGGTTTCTCACCCTTGGCAACTTGAAGATGTGTGGACTGCAACTCCCAGAATTCCCCAGCCAGCATACTGACTGGGGAATTCTGGGAGTTCAAATCCACAAACCTTAAAGTTGCCAAGGTTGGAATTCACCGGGTTAGAGGGGATTTTTTGCATCTCTTTACCATCATTTATTGGTTGTCCAGATTTTTGCAGCCCAGATCGGAACTATAGTAAAGCTTAATATACGAAGAATAAAACCAAGACTTCCCACACAACTAATCTGAAGCGGTTCTCTGCTCGACTCTCCAAAATTGAAGAAAGGCCCATTATAAAGGTAAACAAATATGTAAGTTTATATCATTACTTCTGTCTCCGAAACAGGTGTTTTCTGTACATGTTCTTGAAAGATATATGGCATTTCCTGTGAGTTGGGTTAATGAACTGCCAAGCATTAAAAATCTATTTCGTTTTCCACACGCAGTAATGGAAGCAAGAGGAAACAGGATCACTACTTGCCCGTCTTTTATCTCCACAGATTAAGGTGTCGTTTGTAACAATGGAGGGTATGAACTCTACACTCAGTGCTCTTTTGCAAGCAGTTCTACTGTCATCTTCTTCTCCATTGATGAGCTGTTGAATATGTGGAGCTTTCTTTATCTGTAAAAAAAAGGAGGTAATAATATATAACTCCTACTTGTACTGATAAAACCAACACTAGGTGGCTTCTAAAATGTTAATAAAATATGCAGTGATAAAAGACAGTAAGCTGAAGGATTCAGTCAATGGTTAAATGTGAATGATTCCATAAGGTGAGCCTTTTGGTAATTAAAACAATGCCCAGCAAAATGGACAGTTTAAAAAGGGGCCCTACTAGTTCCATTCACTACCATACTAGATAGTGGATTGCATGTGAATCCATGGATATTCTGAGATTAATGGGGACACTGTAGTTGTGGAAGTCCCACATGAATATTTCCCCTCCCTATCTGTAGTTGGAGAGGAAAGATAAATAAAATGATTTCCCAAGTATATGCTAATGTGATTACAGCTATGATGTACACCAGTGTTTCTCAACCTTTTCAAACTTTAATCGTTCTGGGGGGGTTATTTCCTCACTACCACCCTCCGCCGCCCATGTCGCGTGGGGGGTGCTGGTGTTGTATTGTGTCTCCATA